CAGCTTATCACCTTGCTTTTTAATTGCAAGTCGCATTAGCTGTTGATCAAACTTAATCAACATACAAAGATTTAGACCTACTTTCAATGATGTGGTAGGTTTTCTGCTCTTAAAGCTATTTGTTTTTAAAAGTTTGGAGATTCCAGTAACCGGTAAAATTGTTACATAATTTCTGAAAATGTTGAAATTCAAAACAGAAACAACAAAACAGTAACCAGCATTTTAATAATAACAGTTTTCTAAAGCTGAAAAATAACTCTTAGAGAAGACTAAAAAACATTACTTATGAAAAAAATAAAAGTAAACACAAAAAATTTAATGACACATAAAGTCCAATGTTAAGTTTAAATGGTGGTCTAAACCGCCCGTTCAAAGGCCAAAGTACTACAAAGTACAACCCTACATGATAGGGTCTGGTCCGGTGCGGCATGCTGGTACCACCATACCCTATAGTGGTTGAAGATCATAGCTATTTAAAAGAATTATAGTATGGAGACTCGTTCCTAATTCATAAATCTGATTAAAACCACGAATACTAGAATAGACCCGGTAGAATCATAAACATAAACACATTATGTTTTTGTCCCGAAAATAAACATTATTTTACATTGCAATGGAACTGTGTAAACCACGTGTTAATGCTATTAGTTAAGATTCAGGCCAGCAACGTTATTTGTTGTGTTTATGGACCAAACCGATTCTGTTCAAGTATTCGTGTTAAAAAAGGAATAAAGAACCGAATATGTTGCCACAGATATTGACATGGTTAACAGAGGCCTGAGGCCGCAGATATTGGTATGACTATCAGAGGCCTGAGGCAACGGATACTGGTATGGCTATCAGAGGCCTGAGGCCACGGATACTGGTATGGCTATCAGAGGCCTGAGGCAACGGATACTGGTATGGCTATCAGAGGCCTGAGGCCACGGATACTGGTATGGCTATCAGAGGCCTGAGGCAACGGATACTGGTATGGCTATCAGAGGCCTGAGGCCACGGATATTGGTATGGCTATCAGAGGCCTGAGGCAACGAATACTGGTATGGCTATCAGAGGCCTGAGGCCACGGATATTGGTATGGCTATCAGAGGCCTGAGGCCACGGATATTGGTATGGCTATCAGAGGCGTGAGGCCGCAGATATTGGTATGACTATCAGAGGCCTGAGGCAACGGATACTGGTATGGCTATCAGAGGCCTGAGGCCACGGATATTGGTATGGCTATCAGAGGCGTGAGGCCGCAGATATTGGTATGACTATCAGAGGCCTGAGGCAACGGATACTGGTATGGCTATCAGAGGCCTGAGGCCACGGATATTGGTATGGCTATCAGAGGCGTGAGGCCGCAGATATTGGTATGACTATCAGAGGCCTGAGGCCACGGATATTGGTATGGCTATCAGAGGCCTGAGGCCACGGATATTGGTATGGCTATCAGAGGCCTGAGGCCACGGATATTGGTATGGCTATCAGAGGCCTGAGGCAACGGATACTGGTATGGCTATCAGAGGCCTGAGGCCACAGATATTGGTATGACTATCGGAGGCCTGAGGCAACAGATATTGGTATGGCTATCGGAGGCCTGAGGCCACAGATATTGACATTGCTATCAGAGGCCTGAGGCCACAGATATTGACATGGCTATCAGAGGCCTGAGGCCACAGAGATTGGTATGGCTATCAGAGGCCTGAGGCCACGGATATTGGTATGGCTATCAGAGGCCTGAGGCCACTTATATTGACATTGCTATCAGAGGCCTGAAGCCACAGATATTGGTATGACTATCAGAGGCCTGAGGCCACAGATATTGGTATGACTATCAGAGGCCTGAGGCCACAGATATTGACATGGCTATCAGAGGCCTGAGGCCACAGATATTGAAATGGCTATCAGAGGCCTGAGGCAACAGATATTGGTATGGTTATAGGAGGCCTGAGGCCACAGATATTGAAATGGCTATCAGAGGCCTGCGGCCACAGATATTCGTATGGCTATCGGAGGCCTGAGGCCACTTATATTGACATTGCTATCAGAGGCCTGAAGCCACAGATATTGGTATGGCTATCAGAGGCCTGAGGCCACAGATATTGGTATGACTATCAGAGGCCTGAGGCCACAGATATTGACATGGCTATCAGAGGCCTACGGCCACAGATATTGAAATGGCTATCAGAGGCCTGAGGCAACAGATATTGGTATGGCTATCAGAGGCCTGAGGCCACAGATATTGAAATGGCTATCAGAGGCCTGAGGCAACAGATATTGGTATGGTTATCGGAGGCCTGAGGCCACAGATATTGACATGGCTATCAGAGGCCTGAGGCCACAGATATTGACATGGCTATCAGAGGCCTGAGGAAACAGATACTGATATGGCTATCGGAGGCCTGAGGCCACAGATATTGACATGGCTATCAGAGGCCTGAGGCCACATATATTGGTATGGCTATCAGAGGCCCGATGCCACAGATATTGACATGGCTTTCAGAGGCCGGTTATTATGTGATTATTCTGTCAGCCTCACGCAACACAGACATGGCAGAAGCCTGGGCACTACTGTATACACCTTAAAATTTTTTTCTTCACAAAGACGTTTCAGCAAGATGTATCTTTGGTAGATCGTGTAAGAGTGGCGAGCGGGATGAGCGTGATAATTAAAGTTATACGAATTATTTTTTAGTTTTCCTATACATTTTTGAAGCTGCAACGCATCCGATGACCATGTTTAAGGTGTCATCGGATAGGTCGTGGCAAGTAGATTTGCCATAAAACAAAACCTTTGAAATTTCACCAGGGCTCTGCCCCAGTGACCTCCCCATTTTATTCTTACTAGAGGTTGAAAACAACTGGTTTGTGTTTTACTTAAGCTTCAAGGGATCAATTGGTAAAACCATTGCAAATAATTCTGATGAATTTATTATTTTTCTAATCTTTCTTGTATTAAATAATAGTAAATTACTCAATACATTTATTTGTTTAGCCCCCAAAGTCGATTTTAGTTGTTTTATCTTCCATCGTTTTAAATCAAGTCCAACCACACATAAAAAAAACACGCTTTCCACAAAACAATTAAGAACCTAATACAATGACACTGTTGCAATGTGACGAGGGAAGTGTCGGTTAACGCACTTCCTCCAAGGAAATTTGGGCGGGAAATGACACTTTGGGGAACAAAGCGCGGCAAACCCAATATACGTTGCTGGGGTGGCTGAGACGCTGTGTTGTGTAGAGGATTATCCTCCCTGGGTAAATGTCAATTAAAATTAGAACACGTTGGATTACTTGACTAACACGCAGTGAGGTAAACATGATCACATTATTAGTCGACAATGTGATGAAGTGTGAGTGTGTCATGCATGTGGCATTACACTGTATCAGTTGAGCTCAGAATATATCTTTGTTAGTACAGTTCAGCACAATTTGTATTTATATATAAATAATTGGCTCTTCCCGTTTTGATGGTGTACACTGATGTATTTTCAATAAAATTCTAATGATAACAGATTTTTCTAATGATATCTTTTGTGGGGGGGGGGGGGTTTATTCTAGTGGTTGGAGTGCGGGGTTTCTATCTTTAGAGGCGTAGGTTCAAATCTCGCCCATCACCTATATATTATAGAGATAATGTTGCAACTTGGAGGTTCAGTTCAAAGTCCACCTTGTAGGTAAACCTATCTTGACTACAAACATATATAAGACGTTTCGCTATATTGGAGAATTTGCTAACGATTGATTAAACATATTAAAATAAAGTAACATGATAACATCTTGACCAAAATTGGGAAATGAGATTCAATGCCATCTGTGAACTATTCTATCGTATTGATGTTCATCAAGCAACAATAATTGAGGACTGAATAAAACAATCACCGTTTCGGTTTCTTCACGCAACACACAAGATTCTCCTTTGTTCATACCTAACTCAGAATTGCACAAATCGATCACACAATCCTCCACTCACAGCCTGAGTTCATCCCTTTCTCAATGAAGTGATCGATCGTTGTATCACGTTTAAATGATGAATTAGAAGAGTAAATCAATGGTGGTGATTGTTCGTGCAGGGAAGTGTTTGCGTGTTGAGGCGACGCCCTGGGACAATTTGTGCGGCGGGGTTGCTCAAACTGCGTTTTACGATTACTATGTTAAATCACTAAAACTGCGATCATATTGTTCTTTTCACTTTCTGATTACAGTTATCAAAGAGTCAGCTTTGTTATTAGACAGAGGAAAGCTTCTGTTAGTACACGTAACAGATTTTCCATCGTGCTACTTGTTCGTAAACTAAGCTGTAGATAACAATTAATACTAAAGAGGGAGAAGCTGTTATTGTGATAACCTAGATCTGTCACTAAGGCATGATTTTAGATGGTTGGAGGGGATGGATTTTGTTATACAAGGAATTTAAATACAAGAATTACTAGTGACTTTTGTTCACAGTGAACAGTTTACCAGTCTATGATGTATTCGCTTTGACTGCGTTATAAGTTGTTAAGTACTCTGACGTAATTCGATTTACCTAGTTTTTATCAGTTAACATACGAAAATAAAAACTAAACTAAGTTGATGAGATGAAACTTGACATGATTTCGATAAACCTAAGCTTGTTTTCTAGAGGTTTGACTTCATCCAAACTAGGATATCATTATAGTAGGAATAATAGTTTCTGGTAAAGGTATTGTGCTTTAGAAAAGATATTGGCCTTGTGTCCAATTTTTTATAAGAGACGAGGCCTTGGAATCAGGATGTAGAATTTGGTGAACCAACAGTCTTCGGGGAAAGTACGTAATAATACTTTTATCTAAAAAATTACAAATCAATCTCTTTTCTGACGAACACTTTAAATTGATTCCAAGTTTTCAATCGTCTAGTTTAAGAGTTCAAAAATGAAAAGATTTTTGCCCTTAGGAGTAAAAAAGTTGATACACTAAAGTCACCATCCTTTAAACTTTTTTTAAAGTTCTACCTCACACATAATATCTTTATTTGAAATATTTTTCCAGATGCCGAGGAATCTATCGTCGTCGGCGTTTATGAAACCGTTCGTGGTGCTGGCATTGCCGGGAATGTATTTGTTCTACAAGTACAGCCAGTACAAGCGCCAACAGCAAGAACAGAACCGACGACGAGTGACGGAGAGGGAGTTGGCCCACCTCAACCATAAGATTGTGAGTTATTCACCTTCAATGTCTGCCTAGTTGAATATAAACCATAAGTATTTAATTGAGTTGTTATGTGCAAGCAAAGAGCTAAGCTAGATATTATATTTGGAGGTTAATGGATTGATTACTGCAAACGTGCTGTTGGTTTGTACTGTAAAGTGGTGGTGTCCTAGTCCAGACAGTGTTATACCATTGACTATATATGCCTATAGGTATATATAGTCAATGGTTATACCCAGAGATTACAGTGTGCACTCTGGTTATACCTGATACTGTGTGCAGTTTTACCAACAAAAATAGTTGCACTATACTACGCTTTAATGTAACCTTCTTGTTTTATTAAACTTTTTAATTTATGCATAAATCAAAATCATTTTAGGAATATTTATATGGCGGGGGTTAGTTAGAAACAACGATCACATAAGACCATGTGATCTGTGATTGGTCTTATGTGATCGTTGTTTTTAGAAAACAGTCCCACCATCGATTTATAGAAACAAAACTGCACCTTTAGTTTTATAAAACTCTCTTCTGGTTTAATTCAACCAGTTTTGAGAACGAATTAAATTATTGTTTTTGTCGAATCACAAACTAAGTAACTTTAAATAGGCCCAGTGATGTTGCAATACATCTGTGTTTGATTAATTGTTCTAAATTTTTTAGATTTTGCCACCCACAGGAATTTTATCTATTATTATGCATATAAATAAACATAGTCCTTTATATATTATTTCAACAATATAATTTAAGTTTACCTATTTAATATAAATTACATCAGTACTGATAGCGTGGAATTTCGCAACAAACTAAAATAAATCTTCCAATCGTAAACAACTGTGAAAATCTTTTCAATGAAAGCCGTCTTACGACACATTTCGTTTTACGACAAACCGGATTTTACAATAATCGTAAACCGCGCTTATTGGCGTCCACATCTTACCAGCTGAGAGACGAGGGGCAGAAACACATAAATATTTCACATTTCAAACAACTTAATTTTTTTCTTGAGAAATCTTCGGAGAGATTTATAGTTTTTCGGTTATATACCTACAATACACAGAGTTAACTATATTAGATATTACTAGAGCTTGCCCCGGGGTCGAAATCTCGACCAAAAGTATGTATCTCTATTTTCACCCACGCTGTAAATATCCTAAAACATGAGACTGGAATTTCTTGCATTTGTTTTTATTTTCTGTTTATATTTTGTTGTTATTTCGTCACCAACATGGTTACCCATAAGCTTATGTTATTTTTTTTATTTTATTCGCGTAGATTTACCCTGCGATGCACAGCATTTTTTTTTTAAACATGCTTTTCTATTAATATATAAAATTAGCCCCATGTCAAATCTCCATAAGAAAAGTTATTTTTTTATTTTTGACCAAATTGACATAAATATTCTCAAAATACAAATAAAACCAACACGTATAGGACCGACAACCTTTCTTTTGGTTCAACCTGCGTGTAAATCGGTCGAGTAGTATGGTCAGGGTGGCCGTCAAGCTTAAAAGTTTTGCCCCCTGTTAAATCTCCATAGGAAAACTTTAATTTCCATTTTGACCCAATTAACATAACTATTTTCAAAATACCGATAACCTTTCTTTTGGTACAATCCGCTTGCAATTCATCACGTAGTATGGCCAGGCTAGCTGCCAGAAGTTTTAAAATTTGCGAGATGTTTCATTCACTCCACGATGGTTCACTCCAAAAAGTAATTTTACAAATTATTTATTTTTATATTGGTTCCTAGAGGTCGCCCCATAGGCGAAAACTCGACCAATAATATGTGATGTATAGACTTCTCTATTTTCACCCCTCACTGTAAATAAAACATGTGATTGGAATTTGTTTGGATTTTCTTTTTATATATTTTGTTGTTATTTTGTCACCAGCATGGTAACCCATAAGACCCATGTTAATTTTTTTAAATTTCAAATTAATTTTTGTGCTTATTTTTTAGCCTATTTCAATTTTTAAATGGATTCTGCACATCTACAGGAAAATGTCTTTCATTTGGTACCAAGCTCGTGTAATTCGATCCAGTAGTATGATCAGGCAAGCTAAAATAAGTTTTATAAAAGTTTTTTTTAGTATATAAGATTATAAATTTTCAGTTTGCTTATTTTATGGCCCTTCTATCTGCCATTACATTTACATATTCAGTAATTTATAATTATATAATTTCTTCCTCTGTGTGATCTTTGCGGATTACATCAAAATCCGCAAACGAGGCTGCCATTGGCTTCTATGCTTATTATTGAAATAGCCGAATTTTAGTTATTTTAAATATCAACAATTATTTTAAATATATCAACAAATTTAACGAAAGAGATTACAGGTATTTTAATTTAGTCAAATTAATCGTATTTTAATTTCGGTCCAGTTGATAATCCTTTTCCAGAATCATTCGTCCATTTCTTGTGGAACGTAATAATTGGATAACATAATATTATGATATTGTTTGTGGAATAACAACTAAATTTACACCCATAGACCATAAATAGGTTCAAACAGTTACAACATAAATAGGTTGTATATTTTTAAAATTTTTAAACGGGTGGACAAATAATTAAACTATTGATTTAATTATATAAATGAATTAATTTTTAGTTGTGAAAACAATAATTGATATCCGTGTCCCTACAGTTCTTTAAGCAAATGTCAATGTCCCCTTATTTAATAAATAAGTAAACGTCCTATATGACAATTCACGACTAGCTATAATCAACATACAGGCAATTCGATTTTAATTATACACAAAAACCACAAACGTTTGCAGGTTGGTTTGTCTATATTAGCCTACAAATTTACTATATGGCGTTGAATGCTTATAATGTTTTTTTCGCTTACTCTTATTTTATCATCGATACCTACTACATTGACGGTATAAGCCACATTCTTACATTACATAATTATTAAAAGTTATTTTACCTACGACCGTTTTTTAAAGTAGCCATTTCAGTCCAGTTCTTAGAATTGAAAAGTTTCACTTAACAGCTGTTTACTTTCATAACAGCATAGTTTCATTTCATAACAGCATAGTGTTTCTCATAACAACACGGGTAACGGACCAATGAGGTTCAAGAATTGAGGGAAAAGAAGTAAAATTGTAATGCTTCGAACGTCAACTAATCAGCTGATCAGCTGATCAGTTTGACAATTTTAATTGTTGATCTTACTTGTTCCTGTTGATACTCGCGTATTCTTAGATTAAACTGCTTTTAAAATGTCAGTTAGTGAAAGTGAAGTTGACGAGATGGAAATGAGAGCACAAACTGCTTATAATATTCTATAATATTCGATGCTGAGATCTAACTGTAAATTAACTCTTTCACTATAATCATTCAGTTGTAAAAAAAAATAATAAATGCAATATTTCCCTAATGGTACCTGATAATTTATGGTATTTATGGTAAGAATGCTGCTAGCAGAACCTATTCCCTGAAAAAGGTAACTTATTATTTAACGAAGTTTTACAAACACGTAACTACATGAAATCAGCTGATTATACAATAAGTCGTTGCATCACTTTCAGTAGCACTGACAATAAACGAAAACATAACCTCTCTAAGAAGTTATGAGTAGTGTAACTAAAAACCAGATTGTTAGTAATAAAAAAACTGTCGTAGGTAAAGTAGTGTACGCAACTCGCGTTAATAGTCTTTACGACACTCGTAGAAGTTTTTAAGGCACTCACCAAGGCTCGTGCCTTAAATTTTCTACTCGTGTCGTAAAGACTAACTTAACGCAATCGTTGCGCAAACTACTATTAATCATGTCAAGTGTAAATTTTACTATGTTGTGAAACGTAATGCACCCAAAAGCCTCATATGAAACTGGTAATTTACAACTGATGCCAAATATGAAGATGAATGCCTTGGAATGTAAAAATACAACTTTTACTACAAAAATAATATTGTCCATTTCAAAAATCACAAATGTCCTCATGGTTTTTAAAGCGATACAAGAATTTCGTACGAAAAATATAACAACTAATTTACCTATTAGAAACTAAAGTTATTCCTTATTTATAATTTATTTGCTGCCAAACCCCCAGTAAAGATACACTGTAAGCTGTATTCATACAGTCAATACACACGGCACATGGTTTACGAGTGACACATAAATTCACTGTCAGGTTTATTAGCCTTTGGATGAGTTATTGGTCTTTGATGGCCAGGACAGTTTAACAGTCCCAGTACACCAACCAATCTGTCGATGTTTATGTGGTAAATGGTCCGCAGCTTCCCGTTGGAGAAATAAAGTCTCTATTTATAGGAAAGATAATTTCGTTCATTCTTCGCAGTAAATTTGATATTTGGAATGTGATTGAAGTGCTGTTCTCTTTTGTAACGATACCGGTTTTAGGATTGGGTAAAGGGAGTAAATTTTTGTAAAATTTAGTTTTTTAAAATATGGAATGGTTTTTTTTACATGGATCACGAATAATTTAATGTCATCAAGCGAATAGAAAGAAAAAAATTAGAGTTCGAAAAAACGTGTGTAAGTAAATGTTGGTGAGTGGTCAAAGACAACCTTAGCACGGATAATTTGTGTTATAAATACAGTAACACATTTTTTGTCTACGCTGGTAACATATCCCGAAGGGTAGAATATGTTTGTAGTTTAAGAAGCTGATAAGTAACTTTACAAACCTTATAAAACTTAAAATTCTTTCGTACTTGGACTATTTTGTAATAATGTATGTCAACTTCTTATACGATTCCAATATACATTTCATTAACACAATACTTAGTCCCAGGCGACAAAAGAAATAGCAATAACAATCTTCTGCGTGTTTGTAATCACCCCATGTCATTAAATTTTTCTCCAATCTAGTTTCACTGATTTGAAAGATATTAGGAAGTTATTAGGAGGTTTTATCTACAGGGTGAATAAAAAGTCAAGACACCCCCATCTAATATTTTCCAAGTAAATATAAAGAGATATCCTTTTGGTGGTCGTGCAATCTTAGCAGAAACTTTCATTTTATGATTTTGAAA